CTGGACCTCAAAGCCACAAACCCTTTTTTTTGGGGGGGGGTATGCTTTATGCACGCACGTTTGATTTTTCCTTCCATGATAAAACGTCTGGAGATTTTCACTTAAAAATTCCGATTCTTAATTTCACTTAAGCACTAAATAAAATACATCGTTATGAAAAAACAATCATGTAAGCATAAATTTGTGAGATTAATAATTTGGCTCTGCAGCTGAGTATCTGCTTGGCATCACATCTCAAACCAAAACATTCACCTATTTTATATCCCTGACGCCGACCTGGCGAGTCATTATTTATTACATTTTGCTTTCAACACCGCATGTTTAGCAATACATGACAGCTTCAGCAATAACTCATGCAGTGATGTCTAAACTTTTTTTTTTTATATTAGTAATTGAATAACAAGAGTAAAGCAACCTTTTCTGCTAACATTAGGCTTGATGATGATTACAGATTTTTTGGTACTATTCGGTTTTGAGGGAAGTAAAAAAAATCGCCAAACTATTGTTGATGTCAGTGCTGCCAAAAATAATTGCAGCAACCCTAACTCAAGAAAGCATGTACGAGGGCCATCCAGGAAGTAGATTACGTTTCCGTCTGTGTCCGCTAGGGGCGGGGCTAGCGCGGCCATCTTGGGGTCAGAGCGTTGCGCAGCTCAGTCTGCATCTAGCCGTGCTAGTGAGAGGTTCGTGCTGTGCTCCGTTCAGATACTGTGACGGTTTGAAATGTCTGCGTTAATTGTTGAAATCCCGCGAGCTGCGCTCAGTAATAAGGTTTCTGACTGCAAAAAACTGTAAACCGATAGAAATCTATCGGCAGCTTCGTGAAGTGTATGGGGACTTTTTCGAGAAGTTCGGCGGTAGTGTATGGGGACTTTTTCGAGAAGTTCGGTAGGTCATAAGATTTCAAAATGGCCGAACCAATGTTCACGACGAAGATCGAAGTGGGAGACCAGCATAGTGGACCGCCGAACTTCTCGAAAAAGTCGATGCTAAAGTCCGAATGAAAATCGAAATTTTCACAATAACGGAACTTTCTTTGAGTTTTCCACAAATTTCGCAAAGTTTGTTGCACGAAAATCATCAGCGAAAAGCTTGGTTACCACAAGTTTTGTGCAAGATGGAAGGCAAGAAGAGGTAACGAAGTGGTTGAAGGCGCAGGCGGCCGAATTTTTCGACGAAGGAATTTCCAAGCTCGTACATCGCTACGATAAATGCCTTAATTTGTATGGTGACTATGTAGAAAAGTAGTATTTGAGTGTGGCTTTCATCTGTATATAATAAAATTTGTTTCCTATACTTTGTTTATTTTTTTATTCCAAAACGTAATCTACTTTCTGGATAGCCCTCGTATAATAGTACATAACTATCTAAGATTGATGTTTTAATTTAGATGAAAGGTTAATTTTATATAATACTTTCGGTACTTTTCCGTTTTGCCGGCGCAAACGATAAAGTCGCCAATAATGGTACAACTGATGCCAAATGGAATATCTTTGCTAGTAACCTTTTACGCTTCATTTTCAAAACAAGTCACAGCCATTTCTTTTCAGATTGATTGTTTCTTTCAATACTGACATACAATTATGCAGAATTTTTATAGAGGATGGCTAAATTTTATGCCCTAAGACAATTTGCGGTAATTAAGTCAATTAGAATGCAATCACACAACTCACCCAAAGGCGAAAATATAGAAAAGACAAAATCAAGTGTCGAATTCATCAATTCTAACGAAAATGCACTAGCGAAGCAAAGCACTGCGGTTTTACATATTTTCTGAGTAAGCTATTCGTACGAATTGAAATAATTCTTGCATTTAAACTTTTATTCCAAATTAAGATTTAACTTGCAATTAATGTAGATAATTACTGAGAGAATTAGATTTTTGTAGCGTAGTTTACATGAGATGAGATCACTTGGTGTCACGTGATACGAACCGGAAAATCAGGATGTAGAACCATGAAAGCATAGTAAATTCATAAATTAATGTCTTTTTACAAATTTATTGTCTTTATTTATTGGCTTTTTACAAAATTTTAAACCATATTAAAATGTTTATACCTTCAAAATAAAAAATTCTTAGAATTAACATTTCTTAACATTTTTTATGTGTATACTCTATGTTTTCGCCAACAAAGTCTGCTTGGCGAGATTTGCGCCAGCGAAATGGAAAAGTACCATACATTTGATTATTATAATTTATATAAAAAAAAGGCTAAACATGGCTGAATGGAAGCATAAGAGTAAATAACTATTTCAAATCAATATTATAATTTATATAAAAATTGCTAAACATAACTGAATAGATGCCTGCATCACTATTTCGCTATTGAGTTATCGCTAAAGCATAGTTTCATCTCGTTGGTTGTTCAAACATAAGTTTCTATAATGAATGACGCCTTTTCTTTCAAAAAATTCTCGGTAAAGTGCAGAATTGCCCACTTATTTGTTTGCTGCTTTTTTACAAGGGTGAAAACCTTGTAACACACACAAAACAATTGGATTTTTGTCAATTTTCTTTTACTTTTTAAGTGAAAATAGGTCGGTGAGTACATAGATAAGGTCAAAGGTGTGTGCAGTGCCATTTCTGTGCAATTCTGGGATTTTTTTTTTTTTTTTTAAGTGAAAATAGGTCGATGTGTACATGGATACCGAGTATGTGCAATTCTTAAAAACTCATCAAGCAGTGGATGATTCTGCACTTTACCCAAAATTCTATTATATAACATAGTGTATATAAATATACACTTTTTGTCATATGCAATCCCCAAATTGTTAAATCCAATTCATTTCATAATTTAAAATTAAAAAAAGGATTTAAAAATTAAACTAGTATTTCAATGGCGTCTTAAGAAATATAGAACTATATAAATTTACGCAATCTGAAATCAGCATGTACGCTAAATTTGGCGCGCTGTTAAATGGGCTCATTTGCTAAATTTGACGCTTTTGCGCATACATTTTCGCTGCAATTTTTATGTCCTCAAAATGGAATAGTACCGATTTTTTAAATGCTCTAAGTAATGTTGACGAGGAAAAATTCAACAAATATTTCTTTTCATATGCTAAAAACAGATTTTGCTAACGAAACTCATAGGCCAAAAGATTACTTTTAGTGCTATTTTAATTAAGAATAACTGATATGTTATTCACCATAAACCCAGAAGTGGTGGCAGAATTTAGGAAAGACACAAGTTTTGGAATTTGGGGAAGCACTGAGTGGCAAAAGTAACGGATGAAGTTTTTTATATTTTTTTTGGGGGGGGAAGCACTGGGATACAAAGTTTAGGCGCTGTGAAAATTTAAAACTTAGGAAGGCCATTTGTAGCAGAATTTACAGACTGCACCAGGCGGTATCTAGCATATGTGGGAGTTCATTTATTTAGGACTCAGATTAGTTTTAAGCATGTGCAAAAAATAAATATAAGTATAGTAAATAATTAATAAAATTCAGGCTTAATTCAGTACGCAATAGGAGCAAGACAAAACTTAGTGGAACAACTTGGCTTTCGTTGCCTATCTTGTGATACACAGCCAATAATGTATAACAGATGCTATTAAGCTAGACTAAAATTATCTTAACTGATTCTAAGGCATTTCAGTTATATAGCAGATGGCGCTGCTCCTTAATCTCCTAATTTGATCCAGCTTATTATTTTTTGCAGACTGTTATTATTACAGCAATTTTATAAAAATTAAACTTGAACTTTCAATTATATCGAAAAGAGTTTCCAGTCCTGGAGCTGCCAAAGGATCTACAAAGCGAAACCATGTTTCGATGTCCATTAAACAAAAAGTGGAATTGCTGCAAAAAATGGATAAAGGCATATCCGTCTCAAAATTATGCGAGGAGTATGGCATTGGAAAGTCAATTGTATATGACATAAGAAAAAGGAAATTTTAGAATTTTTTATGGAAGCAATTTAAACAACTTATATTGAAAGAAATGTTTAATAAAGCAAACAAATAAGTATTACTTTTTTTTTTTTTTTGTAAATTTTTATACCTTTTAGATCATTATTGTTCTTTATTTCATAAATTACGATTTCATATTTTTAATTGCATAATTTATGCATGCCATCTTACCAGATTTAAATTGATGATCTATTATCCGGAAAAATCCTAAATCCGGAATCGCCGAAGTATCCTAAACAATATTGATTAATTGATTATATTATCTCCTAAGTTTAATTAAAGTAGATTATATTATCTCCTAAGTTTAATTAAAGTAGAATTATATTATCTCCTAAGTTAAAGTAGATTATATCTATTAGTTTATATATATTGTCACCAAATAACGTGATTTAGTGTTAATAATGAATAGGCATGACTTTAAAATCATAAAAATTCCCTTTTTAATTTAATCTGAACTAAGTTTAATTTCTGCAAAGAAAGGTAAAAGCTCTATTTTTTCCTTGCATTTTGAGAAAATTTTTAATATGTGCGGCTAAATGAAGTGGATGGAATATTTTCAAAGTTACAGGATCTGGGCATTAAAAAAAGCCATGATATGTGACTTTAAAAATGGATAGACAATGGCAATTTAATGTGAAAAATTATTATAAGTGATTTAAGTTTTTCATATGCTCTAATTTAATAAATTTGTTCATTTAAACTTCTACTGGAACAAATAGTGACATAGCTACCAACTTTCATGTTCAGCAGGAATTCATAATAATCAAAATATGCCTTTCAGGAATTAAATATGTTCTGCTTTCTTCTTTTCTAAATCTTGTATAATTTTAAACATATGCTCTTGATATTCAAAATGGAAACAATTAAGATGATTGTTTTTATAATTTTAGAGAAAAATTTTCCCCATTAATTTGGCTTTTGTAGTATAAATTCCACTTTTTATATGCTCGGTTTCTGGAATTATTATGCATCCAGAACTCGGCATTTCCCGTGCTTTCCAGCTAGTCAAGTTTTTACTGTGTTTGGGATAATATAATCTATTTACTAAGGAATATCATGATATTCTAAATTTAAAAAAAAATAAAGACCTCTTTTGAAGACTTGGCAAACATAACAGATAGACTTTTTGATTCAGCTAAGGATTCATCAGACATCGGTTTCCTTTCATGTCTTTTTTCAGCTCCTTTACTTCTTTTCTTCATATCTTGTTTATACATGTTCTGTAAATAAAGATCAAATTCATTTAAATTTTTTTAATATATGAAAACTATGCACTTGTTTTAAAATTTAATTACAGATGAAGTACAATATAATATAAACACCTGTGAAATAAGAGAAAATCTTTACTGATAAAGGTTAGACTATCCTTTGACTGAAATACACATTCTATGTAACATGAGATACAAAGAGAGGTCTTGCACCATATTTTTTAGGAAATACTAAACCATTTCTCTCGCACAGCAATCTCAACCTCTGAAAATGTAGCTACAGTCAGGATTCAAGCAAGAAGCCTGAACTTCAAATATTTAATGATGTTCAGGTTTGAGGGGTGAGAACACCAGATGATATGTCCCGCTTCAACACAATTTCTTCAGATTAGTGCAGAACACACTACGCAGTGTGGATAGAAATATTAAAGAGTGGATAAAAGGATGGACATGATCCACTAGTATTCTCAATAGTACAGTCAAAAGTTTGTTAATTCGGACACCCATAATCCGGAATGATCTATAATCCAGACCTCAAAGCTACAAACTTTCTGCGCATGCGTCGCGTAAGACCTTTACGGTTGCAAATATGCGTGTGTGCATGCGAATAATACGTTTACGTATGCGCGTTTAATGTATAACGGACGGTATAAGCTAAGCTAAAATTATCTAATTCAGTTAATGTTGCAGATTGCATTGTTCCTTAATCTTCGAATTGGATCCGGCTTATTATTTTTTGCAGACTGTTAGAGCAATTTTATAAAAGTAAGCTTGAACTTTTGATTATGTCAAATAGAATTTCTGATATATATTTACTAATATGTAAAGGATTTACAAAGCAAAAGTATTTTTCAAAGTCCATTAAACAAAAAGTGGAATTGCTGCAAAAAATAGATAAAGGCATATCCTTCGTTTCTCTAACCATTCTGAAATCTGTTTATCAATTTCACGCTGCTCTTCGGGTTGGGGGGGGCGCAATGAATTGGAAGTTGATCTTTCAGCACTATCCTTATCTTCAGGGCAGATATTTTTATTTTATTTGGCTTATAATTCCTTACTAAATGTAGTATTTCATCTTGATGTACTCCGTCTTTGATATGATTTAAATCAAATTCCTCGTCATTATAATTCGCTTTCGATAGTGAAGAAAGTGACACAGAGGTTATTGAAAACGAAAAAATTTCGATTGACAAATTAGTCGGTATTCTGGACACAGAAATTAGAGGACTTGAACAGCGGAACTTTGTAACTGAAGAAGAAATATGTCTGTTTATAGAATTAAAGAGAAAGTATTATCACATAAAATGAAGCAACTTAACCAACTTACATTGAAAGAAATGTTTAATAAAGTAAACAAATAAATATTAAGCTTTTTTTTTTTTTTTTTTTTTTTTTTTTTTTTTTTGTAAATTTTGATACCCTTTAGATCACAATTGTTCTTTATTTCGTAAATTACGGTTTCATATTTTTAATTTTATAATTTCTGCATTCCATTTTACCAGATTTAAACTGATGATCTATAATCCGGAAAAATCGATAACCCGGAATCGCCGAAGTCCCGACGAGTCCAGATTAACAACTTTTGACTGTAATAGGATATTATCTTCCCATGTAGTTCCCACATTATCATCTTCCCCCAAGTGGACCAAGATTGCATGCCTTACTAACAGAGAACTATTTTCATGCTTCACAGCTGGCAAAAGGCAGACAGGCACAAATTCTCCTCTAGGCATTCACCCAGTGGTCTAAAATAGGATGGGTACTAACATATTAATGCAACTACCTTGGTACAATTTGGCGATTTTTTACAGACGAAAAGGTAAAAGGTACTTATTGGGTGCAAGTTAGTGGTTTTTGCCCTTTTTTGGGGGGAAAGATTTCCAAACTATCAATATTTATTGTAAGTCAGTAAACATTATCAACATATGAAAAGAAAACTTACTTTAGCAATTTAAAAATACAAATCTGAATTACTAAATAAGGATTGTCTGACCCACTAAAAAAAAATGCATTCTTCTTCAAATCTTTGTGTAATTCTTTTGTACTATTCTTCTCCTAAAGTACAAAATGATCACGTTTTTGCTTTAAAAAAAAAAAAAAAAAAAAATCAGAGAATTGTGCAGACTTGGCTCCATACAATTCTCAGTAACAGTAGTTATTGAAGAAATGCATTTCCTCATTATTTTCATTAGAAAACATTTTCAGAAAAATTCTGTATTCCTGCAATTTCTTCCATTCCACAAACTCATATTTTAAAACTAAGTTTGAGGAAAAAATATTACAATTTGTTTAAAATAATCATTGGAACTTGGAATACAACAAAAAAGAATACATACAAAAATGACAGCATTTGCTTAACTGACAGAATGTTATGAGCATAATTGCTGGAAGAATGGTTATGATACCATTCTTCCAGCAATTATGCTCACATGTACCATAAGATGAATGGCAATTTATAATCATACACAAGTACCATAAGATGAATGCCAATTTATAAAATCCATGGAGACAGGAAATATGAGGAGAGGACCAAACTGGTTTTCCTATGCACTGCCTTGAAGCAGTACGCACCCCCTCTTGGAGACCAAAACATTCTCTAACTTCCCATTAAGATCAATAGGTTTTAATATGATTGGAGGTAAACATTTTGTAATTATGTTTTAAATATATGTACAGTCAAAAGTCGTTAATTCGGACACCCATAATCCGGAATGATCTATAATCCGGACCTCAAAGCTACAAACTTTCTGCCCATGCGTCGCATTTACGCATGCGCACAGGCGTTTACGAGAGCGCATAAGACCCTTACAGCTGCGAATATGTTTGTGCGCATGCGCGTTTATGTGTAACGGAGTTATACGCTAAGCTAAAGTTATCTAATTCAGTTATGTTGCAGATTGCGTTGTTCCTTAATCTTCGAATTGGATCCGGCTTATATATTTTTTGCAGACTGTTAGAGCAATTTTATAAAAGTAAGCTTGAACTTTCGATTATGTCAAATAGAATTTCCGATATATATTTACTACAAAGCGAAAGTATGTTTTGAAATCCGAAATCTGTTTATCAATTTCACGCTGCTCTGCGGCAGAGGGAGGGGGCAGAAACGTCATTATTAGATTATGATAGATTAGAAAGATTATGTCAAATAGAATTTCTGATATATTACAAAAAAAATGAATGCCAGGATTTTACATATAAAACACAGAAGCTAATCAAACAGTACATAATACAGTCAAAAGTCGTTAATCCAGACTCGTCGGGACTTCGGCGATTCCGGATTATCGATTTTTCCGGATTATAGATCATCAGTTTAAATCTGGTAAAATGGAATGCAGAAATTATAAAATTAAAAATATGAAACCGTAATTTACGAAATAAAGAACAATTGTGATCTAAAGGGTATCAAAATTTACAAACAAAAAAAAAAAAAAAAAAAAAAAAAAAAAAAGCTTAATATTTATTTGTTTACTTTATTAAACATTTCTTCTTTCATGTATGTTGTTTAAGTTTGCTTCGTTTTTTATGTAATAATACATTCTCTTTAATTCTATAAACAGACATAATTTCTTGTTCAGTTACAAAGTTTCGCTGTTCAAGTCCTATAATTGCTGTGTCGAAAATACCGACTAATTTGTCAATCGAAATTTTTTCGTTTTCAATAACCTCTGTTACTTTCTTCGCTATCGGAAGCGAATTATAATGACGAGGCATTTGATTTAAATCATATCAAAGACGGAGATAAAATACTACACTTAGTACGGAATTATAAACCAAATAAAATAAAAACATCTGCCCTGAAGATAAGGATAGTGCTGACAGATCAACTTCCAATCCGCGGCGTGAAATTGATAAACAGATTTCGGATTTTCAAAACATACTTTCGCTTTGTAGATCAAATTACATATTAGTAAATATATATCGGAAATTCTATATGACATAATCTTTCTAATCTATCATAATTTAATAATGACGTTTCTACCCCCCCCCCCTCTGCCGCAGAGCAGCGTGAAATTGATAAACAGATGTCGGATTTCAAAACATACTTTCGCTTTGTAGTAAATATATATCGGAAATTCAATTTGACATAATCGAAAGTTCAAGCTTACTTTTATAAAATTGCTCTAACAGTCTGCAAAAAATAATAAGCCGGATCCAATTCGAAGATTAAGGAACAACGCAATCTGCAACATTAACTGAATTAGATAACTTTAGCTTAGCGTATTACTTCGTTACACATTAAACGCGCATGCGCACAAACATATTCGCAGCCGTAAGAGTCTTACGCGCTCTCGTAAACGCCTGTGCGCATGCGTGAACGCGACGCATGCGCAGAAAGTTTGTAGCTTTGAGGTCCGGATTATAGATCATTCCCGATTATGGGTGTCCGAATTAACGACTTTTAACTGTATTATCACATGAAACGAAGCAACTTACATTGAAGGAAATGTTTAATAAAGTAAACAAATAAATATTAAGCTTTTTCTTTTTGTAAATTTTGATACCCTTTAGATCATAATTGTTCTTTATTTCATAAATTACGGTTTCATATTTTTAATTTTGTAATTTCTGCATGCCATCTTACCAGATTTAAACTGATGATCTATAATCCGGAAAAATCGATAATCCGGAATCGCCGAAGTCCCGACGAGTCCGGATTAACGACTTTTGACTGTATTATAAAGTATTTGCATTGCTATACTACCAACATAATTCCACTAAGAAATGTAAAGAATGTTAAAAATGTAAATGTAGAGAAGAATGTTTTGACTAATAAAATTGGTTGTTCATTCAAAAATGGAGAGATTTCTTAAAACTTCATTACAGACGTATAAAAGAATGAATATCTGGTTGCAGTCGCTGGGATAGAACGGTGAAACTAGTGTTTATTTAAAAACAAAAGTAAATACAGTACTTGTGAGTACAAGTTTTAATGAATATTGTGCCATTTTGTATGAAAATGTTGCATCTTATTAACGAGTTAAACTAATAGAACGATATTCTAAGTTTAAGCT